CCCCTTCCCCCCGTATCCTCCAGCAGGTGATGGGAACAGTGTGACGTTGATTCAGGCAATTCATCTCCCGTTTTTTTGGGTTTCTTTTTGGTCTCTCTTTTTTCTCTCTCTCGGTTACTTTCTTTCTCTCTCTCTTTAAGTGGCTGGAGGGTGTTCTGTGGGCCTGATCCTTTTGATTTATTGTCAGTTTTTTTTCTTTTATCAAAAGTGTTTTCTGGCTGAATGTGTTTACTAAATTGCCATGTTTATTTCTCGTGCATTCATAGCTGCCTTTGTTTATTACTTAAGCCACATTGCTTTCCAGACCCATGTGAGGGGGTGGTTGACGGGTGTTCTGGTGTGGTTTGCTTCTTCTTTCCTATCAAACATCCATCGCCCTTATCTCCCCTCCTTCTTTTTTGTTTTGTTACTCTCTTGTAACACCTCTAATCTTCGACAATTATATGACCTTATTGTGTTGCAAGTGCCGTTAAACTCTTACTAAAACTAAAAAAAAGATTCATGCGATTCTTTGTAGAGGCTCATCGATGGGCTGCCTTGAAACTGCTTGCTCTTTCTCTTTTACCGTGTAATATTTCCCATTTTCTCAGGGAAAACAAACAAGACGTATCACATCTAAAATTATGACACGACGCGGAGGAATCAGGCCCTAGTCAAATTTTGGCCATATGAAGTTGTTGGCAAATTCTTAAAACGTGTGTATTTGATTTGCTTCAGATGGAAAAAAAACTACACGTTTGTCTTCAATAAAAGTCGAGATGCTTTGGATTGAAGAGGGTGGGGTCACCTGGTTTCAGAGGTAAAATTAGAGAAAAAATGGCCGCTAAAATTTGATGATTTCCAAAGCTTGACAGTCCTTGGAAACTGTAAATTTACATATTCTGTTCCTTTCATTAACGTTTTTCGGTAAAATCCACTCAGCAATGTATCTTTAATGGATATAAGAGGTGTTGAGCCCAAGAAATAAAAATGATACAATATTGTCACACGGGAAGAAAAATGCTGTTTTCTTAAAATTAACTATTTTGACGAGCGCCTGATTGTACTACGATTCCTCACAATTATTACAATCTATTTCTGACGACATGGGATTGTTATCGAGATGAACACCCGCCGTATACAATCGTCTGCATCAGTTATGCGTATCACGTGCTTATGATATTATCATTTATATGATCGAGGTACTTATGACACCATTTATATCAGGTACTTAAGACGCCATTTTGACCGCGTGTCACAGATAACGAACCGTATCTAATTTTACATCTGCAATCGAGTGACAAGTGAACGTGGTGGGTGGTTGGCGGGTGCTGTGGTGTGGTTTGCTTCTTCTTTCCAATCAAACATCTATCGGTCCTTATCTCCCCTTCTTCTTTTTTATGTTTGTTGCTCTCTTGCAATATCTCTAATCTTCTGGCGCTCATATGACCTTAATATGCTGTTGCGAGCGCCGTAAAACCTCTACTAAATCTTAAAAACAGATAACGAACGTATCATTCTATTTTTGCACCTGCAATCGAGTGGCACGTGAACGTGCTTTACCAGACTTGTCCACCAACATCATTGTGTTGGGAAGCTTTTATGTGGATGATTACTACTTGATTTTTGCCAGCCAAAGTGTGAGTTAAATGATTTGGGCCTATTGTTGAGCGTTTTTTTTTTCACAATTGCATTTTTGTACTGGTTTAAATATGAAACTGTGAGTTCGCGCGTGTCTTTTGTGGGTGTTTGTGTGTGTGTGTGTGTGTGTGTGTGTGTGTGTGTTGTGTGTGTGAATTCTGTGTGTGTAAGAGATAGAGAGAGAGAGAGAGAGAGAGAGAGAGAGTG